GAGGATGGGCTATGTGTTAACTCCTCTCTGATATTGCTGAGGTCCTTTCCAGCTCTAAAATTCTGTGATTTTTCTGATAGTTGGGCCTCTGAAGATCCTAATACTGAATCCTTTCTCAAACATTACATTTGTGGTAGAGGGAAAAAATTAAATTCCTCCTTTTTGAGACACCAGCTCAACTTTGGAGTATACATACAGACTCCAGAGTGAAAGGATGGAGAAAAATGAATTTGCCCATCCCAGAAAATCAGATGGGAATTGAGAATGTGTCTGTTCATCTTCTGTAAACAAAACCATTAGTGGAATGATTGTTTTTTACTTGATCCTTAAAAAAAAAAAAAAAAAAAAAGGCAGCTGGGTGCTGTGTCACATGTGTGTGATCCCGGCACTTTCAGAAGCTGAGGCTGGAGGATAGCTTGAACGGCTTGAACCCAGGAGTTGGTTACCAATCTGGATAAAATAATCAGACCCTATCTCTACAGAAAGATTAAAAAATTAGCCAGGTGTGGTGGCATGCACCTGTAGTCCCAACTACTTGGGAAGCTGAGGTGGGAGGATCACTTGAGCCTAGGAACTCAAGGCTGCAGTGAACTGTGATTGTACTACCACTGTACTCCAGCCTTGGTGACTAAGCGAGACCCTGTCTCAAAAAAAAGGTAGCTTTAGGGTTTCTGTTTGGATAGACATTTCTGTGGCTTGAGTTTTGAGTTAGGAATATTTTGGCATAGAAAATCCTGCTGGCCCCAGAAACATCTGGCATCATTCATGATCAGGCCAAAGTAAAGGAAAACTAATTTTTTTAGGTAGAATGTTGGCATCTGGAAGAATGGAGGCTGTAAGTTCTATTGCTTGGAAAGTATAAAAAGAAATGTTTAGTGGACAGGTGTGTGAGTTAAACTCCAGAGTATAATTAAGCAGTGTGGCTGCCCATTTTTTTAACTTGATTTGCTTTTACTTCTACGACCTTCTTAATGTGTCCCTGGAATGCCTACGTGTAAAAGGATTCTGATGGAGAAGAAACTTCTCGACCATGAGTGACTGTCCTGGCTGCAGCACTCATTTAGTTTCATAACTTTGGGCAAATCTCCCAATAAATCTGTTTCTTCTTCTGTAGAATGGGGTAATAACACTTAGCTTATTTCACAACATTGTTGGAAAGATTAAGTAAGAAAGATTAGGTGAAAGTATGTACTATAAGGTGATACTTAGGTATTATATAAAAAAAAAGAATGAACAGGAATCAGCACAAAATGCTTATTTTGGCTGCTGGTGTGTGTGTATGTGTGTTTGTGTTTTGCTTCTGTGTGTATGTGTGTGTGTTGTATCTGTATGCCTTTGTCCCTGTTTTTCTACCACCTTATATTTGGCAGCCCTAGTATCTAAGTGTGAAAGTTTGAGATGGGTCTCAGGTTATTTCTGGATTGATGATGATGACTGGTGTGGCTATTGAATAGATTAAAGTATTGAAGATGCTATTGGTCCTTTAGGACAATTAGTTTTGTCTCTCTCCTTTAAGATCATTTGGATGAAGCAGCACTTTGTGTAGAGAATACTAGTTTTTAAGGTACCTTTGTCTTATTTTATTTTCACTGTCATTCAGAAAAGTCTTTGAACTGGCTTATAAAAATGTGTACAATGCAACAGAATTAAAATAAGCAGAAAAGGAATTGGGGCAATGGGAAATGTGTAGGGAAAATACAGTAAAGCCATGTTAAGGCCTCTGGGCAGAAACATACTAGGCAGGGCCTGAAGCTTCACAGAGAATAGAACAAAGAGGGAGGTTTTTTTGAGATGGAGTTTCGCTCTTTGTTGCACCGGTGCAACGGTGCGATCTTGGCTCACTGCAACTTCCGCCTCTTGGGTTCAAGTGATTGCCCTGCCTCAGCCTCCCAAGTAGCTGGGATTATAGACACGTGCCACCACACCTGGCTAATTTTGTATTTTTGCTAGAGATGGGGTTTCTCTGTGTTTGTCAGGCTCGTCTCCAACTCCCAACCTCAGGTTATTGGACTGCCCTTGGCCTCCCAAATGGCTGGGATTACAGGTGTGAGCCACAGCGCCCAGCTGGAGCATAACTTTTCTTGTTACATGTATTCAAGATAGAGCACGTGGACACATCTTCTCCATGATGTGTCCATGAGCTCTATCTTGAATACATGTATCAATACGCACAACAGTGATTTGTGAAACAGTTGCTTTTATACAATCAATGCAAATTAATAACATTGAGACAAAGCATGATTTTAGGAAAGAGTAACTATTAGGGGTCAAGATCATATGTCTCACATACATAGCTCAAAGGGCTGGCGTGAGCCAAGGACAACTTTTAGAACATGTCAAGGAGAGGATAAGCTACCTGTCTTCAGGCAGTCTACCACAAATACTCTCTATCTCAGCTGGGAGCAGACATCTTCCCCTTAACAGTTTCCAGTGATGTTGTGGCACAGTTTGTTGGCTGGAATCCTAGAGACCCAGGGATGGAGATGCCAGTGCTGTCTTGAGAGTTCAGTGTCTTCCCTGTTGGCATCTTCTCTTTCTTGGTTCTGGTTCAATGATTAGACACATGAATTGATATGGTTCTTTGTTGGAGAGGTCAGCAAAATGCCAGTTGTGATTTTTGGGCTTGGCTGTATTTGGAACCACTGGGAATTTGTGGACTGCCAGTAACTCATTTTGTACTAGCTTTTGGGTGACCATTCAGTGGCTGTTATTTCAATTCATAGCTCAGTGTGACTGTATTTAAATCCATCATGTTTCTAGAGTTTGTTCCTAGACTCAAATCATGGTAAGTGCTTTCATTAGATAGTTAATTCAGCTTATGCCCTTTTTCCTACTTTAATGTTTCTTTGTTGTTACTAGCCCTAGATACTTAAAAAAAAAAAAAAATCCTTGGAAGGATTGTGTGTTTTTAGATATGGGGATTGGTTTCTATGCTTTAGTGGGGCACAGAAGGAGACTGTCTGGTTAAGGCAAGAGATTGTGGTGCTAAAAAAGGAAATTTGGCAGGCCTGTTCCTGGCACTTTCAGTAAGTAAAGAGAATGACGGGCTGGCCGGGGATTGTATTAAAGGGATTCCTGATCCTCGTATGACCTTATTCCCTGAACCTAGAAGGACGGTCTGCCTATGTGGCAGTCATTTTAGGGAGCTCAAGACAGTTTTGTTCCGCTTTCTGCAGTATTTAGGGGCCTAATGGAGAGATAGAAACCTGTTAAGGAATAATCATGGCTGTCTGGGCCAGTTGCTTCCTTCACTTAGCCAGAAGCCAGTCTCACCAATATCCATGGCCAAATTTGTGTCCACACAAGTTGCTTGTAACAAGAGGAAAGATTCTCATTAAGAATTTGGCCCTAAAATCAGGTCAGAATGAGGCCATATTTCTGTTTCTGTCAATAATCTGAATTCCTTATTGGTAGAATGGTCTTACTATAATTATGGGGTAACTTTGCCAATTTATAGTACTGGGGTTTGATATGGGTTAGTTACATCAGAAGTCACATCAACTTTTTGACATTAGTTTCTATTCCAGCATGTGGTCCAGGGAAAAGGGGATTGATATAGACTGTTAAGCCAAGAATGAGAATCCATTATTGAAACCCAGAAGTTTGAAATAAGGGTTTAGTGATTGTTTTGTTTAGACACAAACTTTTTTTCATAGATGCTTTAACTTCCTAAGTGAGTTTATATATTTTTCTCAATATGTAATCTTTTAGAAATATTGCAATATTTATGTATTTATTAATTGTATATATTTAATTTATATTAACAGGTAAAAGAGGACCAGGAAGTCTTACTCCTATTTTGTAAAGGTACACTTAGAGAGTAACAGAGGTCTCCCAGTATGTCTGGGACAAGCCTCCCAGTGTGTCTGGGTCAAGCCTGAAAAGAGTGCCATTTTCTCTCCCTTACCATTTCACTGATTCTATACTTGTTGTTTATCAAACTTAATTATGTAGTAGACAAAAAAGTAATTTCATGAGCAATTTCTGGAATAGGCAAGTGGAAAAAAATTTCTCAAGTACCTTCTCTGGAGGCTCTATGTCTTCCATTCCGGCTGCCTTTCTTGAGAAGTAGAGTGGCATAGTGGTTAATACTGTAGGTTTTGGAGACTGCCTGGCTCTGGGTGCTGGTCTGACCCTTGAGCTGTGGGACCCTAACTTCTCTATGCTTACTGTCCTTACCTGTGAGATGGGGGTGATTGGAGTCTCCACCATGTTAATGTATCAACACTTCCAAATTATTTAGAGCAGTGCCTAGAACATTGTAAACACTCAATATATGTTGGTTGTTATTGTAATTTTAATAATATTATTATATGGCTGGCATGCCTGGGAGTTCATCATAGGGGAATAGGTGGTGGATGGATAGGGAATAAGGGCTGAGAATCTAATCAGTTATTTTTAATTTATTGGGTAAAAATGAATCATGTAACAGTGGCAGGCATAATGAAATCAGGTATTCCGTGTGTGGTGAGGATGAACAGTTTCATAGCACTTCCTCCAGGGTGGCCTGTGTGCTTTGATTGCAGGTCCGACAGCTAGGGAAAAGAGTAGTTGAGCTGAATGCTCTGTGGTGAGGCTGTGAGAGGGACAAGAAATGGGAGTCCGGACAGAAGGTGTGCTACAGGAATAGATTCTGAAGAGTGTGCACAGCATCCTGTGATTTGGGCTCCTGTGTATTTTAGTTGGTTGCGTTTGTTAATATTTTAGTCTGTTATCTTTAACCCTGTGACTGACAGTTGACAATGGTGTAGCTCTTTAACAGAGGTGAAACTGGTCTGACTACAGTTTGCCCTTGGTAGTGCTTTCACTTTTGCAACAAGGCAGAGGGAGAATGTCCCTGCTTCTCTATTCTGGGAATCTTACCACATCAATAAGGAGTCTCTGGTAGCACTAACCTCTTTTAAATAGCCTAAGTGTGAGATCCTGACCTTTTTTTCTGTATGTGGCCTACTTCCTTGATGAGAAGCTGGCTTTTATATGAGAGCTTCTATAGATTGCATAAAACTTCAATCTTGCTATTTGTTTCCATTATTGCTTTAAAAAAATAATTTTACAAATTTATTCTAATAATGTACTAATGTGTTTTGTCCCAGGATAGTGAAACTTTTTAAGATTTTTAATAGATTCATCTAGATACCTAAATCTCTCTAGTTACTCAATCCTTCTCGAACATCCAGCAGAATATTGTACTGTGATCATTTCCCAGGATGGCTTTGGCTGAGGGATTTTTTTTTTTTTTTTGTAATGGAGTCTTGCTGTATCACCAGGCTGTAGTGCAGTGGCATCGTCTCAGCTCACTGCAACCTCTGCCTCCCTGGTTCAAGACATTCTCCTGTCGTAGCCTCCCAAGTAGCTGAGATTACAGGGGTGCACCACCACTCCCGGCTAATTTTTGTATGTTTAGTAGAGACAGCGTTTCTCCATGCTGTCCAGGTTGGTCTCGAACTCCTGACCTCAGGTGATCCTCCCGCCTTGGCCTCCCACAGTGCTGGGATTATAGGTGTAAGCCACTGCACCCAGCCTTGGCTGAGGTTTGACTCTTTGCACTCACAGCCCCATGATGTGTGTACTTGTATGCATGTATATTCACATTTGAGGACTGACATCATTTCACCAACCAAGAAACTAAGACAGTGTGGGGAGTACATTTTAAAATAATTTTTATATTATATATTGGCAGGTCATCCCTTTGCTTATAGAAGGTATTATATTGGTAAGCTGGAGGAAGATTGAAAGGGAAAGTAGAACCTGGTTTGATCCCAGTCTGTGCATACCTGAGGAGTTGAGTTGGCAACTCCTGAACCAAGGGTTGTGGTGTTCAGAAATATCTCCAGTTTTTCTGAAGGATGGCATGACATTCTAAAAATAAGAAATTATTTATAGTCACATCAGTGTGTAATATACCTAACAGAATATTAGAAGGGAGATGAAACATTTGGGCATTCAAAGAACCTGGTTGTATACCATTAGGCATGGCCCTGAAACTACTTAGGGTGGCTTTTATAGCAGTCTAAACCTGTATCCTGGGATGTCAGCATCTCTGAACAAACCCTTTCTCTCTCCTCCATTGAGATCACTTTATTCAAATTCTTTATGCATTTAGAGAGTTGCTCAGGCAAGGCCATGTTCTGGTTTGCTCTTCTTAAATGCAAATGTTTCTAGAAATGACTACAGAGTCCTGAATCTCCTCTTGTAATTTTTCAGGTCTTGGTCTGGGGGAAGATACAGAAATGGAGGTCTTATGCTTCACATTTGATTTAAGTCAACTATGTCAAGGTATCTTGACTTAAATTAGCCTGACTTAAGTAAGTTTGACAATTTAAATATTAGAATGGTAAGACATTTTTGTGCCTCTATATCCATATATCTATTGTGGGGAGGAAAAACTGAAAATAAAGAATGATTACTTTTTGATATTCTGTGGAAATCTTATTCTCCAATTAATTTTTCACTGGATAGCCTCCTTACTTCCCAGCCTTAAGTTCTTATTTATGCATGAAACTGGTTTTTTTCTTTTTAAAAAGAATTATTCTGAAACTGTTTTCTGACCATGCTTCATATATTGAAGTAGATTTTTTTTCACAGAAGTGAAAAGGAAGTGCCTTGTGTTTCATATGTAGACGCTTTTTAAGGACACACAGCTTCTCATCATTCATTTTTAACACATGTAGACGCTTTTTAAGGACACACAACTTCTCATCATTCATTTTTAACAGTGGACAATTTTGGTTCTTGTTTATGGAGATTCCTTGGGAATTATTAGCTGATAGAAAATTTCTGAAGAGAGATGGAAAATCTAATCTATTTGGATGTCTTGTTAAATGGAGCTTTTTGAGTATAAGGATTTCTGAAGAAATATAGACTGTCAGAGCTGATAGAGTTTAGAGCGTCTCAGTATACCATTCTTTATAAATAAGGAGAGCTGAAAGCCCAGAGAAATGAGGTGCCCAATGTTGAGATTCAGTTAGTGGTCGCCTGCTGGTCTCTGAGCTGCCCATCACTCTACCTTGACTAATAGTGATAACTGATGTTTCTGGCAGCAAATCGAAGATACAAGTTTTCCACCGTCTTCAAAGGAGAGCTACATTATATTAAACTTCATGCTGAATATCTTTTATTGTGTTCTGATAGTTTGAAAATTGGGTATTTTTGTACTGTTGTAAAACTATAGTGCTTAACTGGAAACCCCAGCATTAACCCATTTACCTTCTGTAGAGCTAGGATTAGAAAGTTTTTGATTTAAAGAGTGAGGAATAAAAGATGGTATCTTGTCCTTAACAAGAGGTCTACATGGATGAAAGGAGAAACAGACTTAAGGAAATGGTAGTGCTTACACGATGATCTAATCTGGGTTTGAGTTTTGTTTTTGAAGCCACTAGTTTTTATTTTGGTGTTTTCCAGATATTCTTATAGCCTTCCTGGGGAGATTTATTTTTTGGAGACATTGCTCACATTGTTTACTCCTCTAGGTTAAATGTACTAGGCCATCTGTTGTTAATTTTGTGAGTTGTATTAAATTCCCTTCTTTGGCTGGATTGTAAGCACCAAAAGCAAACTTAGACAGAAGCAGGAGCATTTGTAAATTACATAGCTTTGAGCCTAAATGGTGGTTTTTATAAATGCAGTTTTCAAATGGGCTGAGATTCTATTTTGAGTTTTGGGATCAGCAGTTTAAACACAGGGACCTTTATGAGTTCTCTGGAAAAGCCCACTTTGAGACCCTGAACAGTTGTGCCAAAGCAAGCTCTTGGGGAAAGGTTGGCAGTGATATTGATGAATTACTTTTAAGATGCTTGGGGCCGATGGACAATGATTTTCTAATACTCTTTTAAGTTCTCAGGCTGACCTATAAAATTTGGAAGTGCTTATCTAAAAGGCCAGTATTCTTTCTGACAGGCACAGGAAAAGCTTGTTCCCTGCTTGATCCTCGTGCAAGCACTTCTTGGAGGCAGCTAGGCCTGTGGGTCTTGGGGACCAGAACAGAGAACAGAAAGCAACAATACTGGCATTTTCAGTTTCTGCTGAAGCTGCAAAAGCGTTTAAAGGGAAATCTGAAGTTATCTCTTCACTGTCTATAGCCTCTTGAATTGACTTCTGGGTGTTATAGATGGGACCAGCATGTGTAAAAGCAGAATTTATATTCTATTTGGGTATCAGAATCAATTTTCTCTTTTTAAAATAATTTTCTGGTAAGTGGTGGTTTCTCCGATATGATTTCTATTGTGAGTTCAACAAAAAAGATGGTGAAATGGGGTTATTACTTAACCAAATTGCCTCGTGTACAGACAGGCTGAACTGGTGCTTTGCCTAGAGTAGTTGGCCTAGAGTTTTCAGAAACTCAATTGTGGCCTTTATAAGGCTGTGCTTGGGGTTGTATTTCCAATCTCTCTCAACTTTTGTTCCCATGGAAGGGAGGAAGTAGAGCTGTGACAGATATATTGCTAGATAGCACACAATAGCACACAAAACGAGAAAGACATGGCGTGAGCCATTCATGGAGACAGATTTACACTCTGTGCTGCCCTTAAACCATAGATCCATCTATTTCAGAGAAACAACTTGCCCACTGTATTATATTTCAGACAGGGACATGGCTTAGAAGAGAGATGTTGACTCCTTCTGTTTAGCTTTTGCCAGTAATGCTGCACGTTTTGCTGTAGTCAATTACTTTTGTGGGGATGGGAAAATACTTTTGGCAAAGGAAAGCCCGTCTCTAGACTGGAAGTGGAAGAAGGGAGATATCAGGAGAGTAATTGGCCATGCTGTCGCCATAGTGAGGTATATATGTATATTTTTGCTGGGTTTTGTTTCCAGCCAACTATATTATCAGGCATTGAAATTTCTAAACTTATTTCATGACAAGAAAAACGAAGCTGGAGAGATTGTGACGGGCCACGGCCAGAGTGTTTGGCATTCAGTTTCTCTTTAGTTCTCTCTATAGGACCGTTTCCTGGCATTACGGAAGAATTGACTGGTGTGTCATTGTCTTTCATGGACATTAATGGACAATAATATTGGTAGTAGTTAATGTAATAGCATGGGTTCTGGAACCATTCTGCCAGGATTTACATTCAGGTCCAACCATGACTTAACCAGATGCCTCAGTTATCTTACCTATAAAATGGGGATTCTAGGTCTTACCTTATCAGGCAGCTCTAAGAATTGTTTAGTCGGTACTAAGGCACTTATAACTAAGTGTTCAGTAAACTTAACTATTGCAATTTATAAATTTGTGTTGATTTTATGGAAATAAATGATGATATGTGATACCTGGTAGATTGTTTTGCGGACATTTTCAAATGTAAAAAAATAACTCAGCCTGCATTGAAAACTTTATAGATTGATAGTTTTAAGGAATGAAAAAAATACTTTTGGGAATAATCTACATTTGGAAGAAATCAGGAAAGAGAGGACAGTATGTATGTAGTTCTGTATTTCTATGTTTTGGGCTTGTAAAATATGTGTGATTATATATTTCATGTCAGTAATAATTTATTTTGGGGAGTAGAAGCAAATGTCAGTTAGATACATCTTCTACGGAATAGATTGTTTTATTTATTTATTTAGATGAGATGGTTGAGTGTTGTCTTACTTGGTTGAATTTAGAGATTTGAGAAAATGTGTATGTTTTTTAAAAATTTTTGTGATACACAGGACCTTTAAATGAAATCAGTCCCTTTTTCTTTTTTTAAAAAACTCTCTGTGATGAGAATTACCATTTCCTAACTAAACAGTTTTGTTTTCTTTTTGCATTGTGTGCTTGTCTCTACATAGATATTACATTTTTTTAGTTAGATGTGTTTTGGAATATCATTGACTTTTTTTCCTGTTACGTTGGAAAAATTTAATGGCATTTGTATGTTATTCTCATGAAGTGGGTTTGGGCATGCTGCCTTATACTAAGTAGAAATCTTGTAGTAGTTCTTCAGAAATAATTCAAATCATTCATTGATTCATTTCTGAATACTTACGTATGGTTGCATAGGTGAGGTTATTAGAATTGGCTTTGAG